GCCAAGGCTTTCAGGGAAGTTGACAACCCAATCAGAGTCTTGAAGGATCCTAACACTCTGGTGGGAAGTCCCAGGAAAGCCATCCCAGGGGGCAGAGTATGGTGACAGAAGGGGTGGAGATTAGAGGACAGGATGTGGATCCGCAACACAGTAGGTGTGACTTTCTAAGAAGGCATGCTGGCCCTCTTGTGGTCAGTCTCAGCCTGGGAATGGAGCTGGAGGACAGTTCTGGTGACCCCACAGGGGATCCCCAGCTCTTGGGATTAGATTGCCTTTAATCCCCATTTGCCTCCCTAAGAGGATCACAGGATCAGCTGTTAGGATAGCCCTAATCTAGTAGGGCTTGGCACCTGGACAGGGCACCCAGAGGCTGCTGGCTGGTCCTCGGCTGCCCCTTCCTGTGTTCCTCCTCAGGCCCTACAGCTGAAGGACAGTACTATCTTGCCTGGGAAAACCCAGTTCATGTTTTTCCACACTGGAACCATAACAAGCCCGGGGAGACACACCACATGGGCTGAGAGGTGAGGGTGGCTTTACAAGAGACCCTAAGTCAGTTCAAGTTGAAATTCCACTGGGTTCTCTGACCCACGATCCCTTCACCATCCCACACCTGACCTCATATGCCCTCAGAGCTCTGCCCAACTGGACAAACCCAAATTTCCTTCCTTTTTTCCCCTTGGTACAGGAATGGCAGCTTCCAAGAGAACTTTACTAAGGATGAAGCGAGAACAAAACCTGACCACAGAGCCAACCATGCTTACAAAGCAGTGATTTCTGATCCTGCTGCTTTAGTAATTGGAGGCTAGCAACTAAGAAGAGTCTTGGGAAAGTCACTGCCTTCCTGGGTGAAGCTTTAGGGAAGCAGAGCCCTGGAGAACTGAGCCCCATCCAAGAACCTCTTACATGGGAGCCCAGAGCTATGTGGCTGCTATCCCAATACCAAGAGACAGAGGTGTAAGCCAAAATGCCAATTCATTAACTTATAATGGGAAAATAACCATCATAGGGACTGAGTAGGCTGTCAATCCTCTTTGGTCAGTCCCTTCTCTTTCTATAGGAAATACAAATTGAAGCCAGATTAGGCTCAGAAGCATAGAATCAAACAAGGAGAGAGAATCAGAGTTGCATGATACTGGCAAAGCTGGGACAGCCATACGCCTGCATCTGCCATGAAGATCTTCCAGCCATAGGTACCAGACACACAAGCCCTCAGGCAAGGTACTCTGTTCTCTGGACAGTCCTGGATAAACTGCCCCTCTGACTCCTAGTTTCAATAATAATGATAGTTAACAGTCACTGGACACTGGGTTCTATGCTAAGCACTTTATAAGAATTCTCTCAGTTTATCTTCAAGGTAGCTCCATATAGAAGATACTGTTATTACCATGTTCTCGATGGGGGGGAAATGAGGCTGCCCAAAGTGGATAAGGAACTTTCCCAAGGTCACACAATCAGTGGTAGAGCCAGAATTTGGATACAGGTCTGTCTCACACCAGAACCAAAGCTCTTAAACCACTCTGCTAAACTGTCTCCCAGTTTTCAAGAGGTCTACTCACCTTCGGTAGTGACATTCCGTCTTTAGCTACAACAGCATGACCATTAGGCTTTCATTCACAATGCGGCCATTTTATCAGTCTCAACAGAGTTCAGATGCCTCTCTGTGCCCATCTGTGTTGTGCAACAAGAGAAATAGAAGCCCTGGAGCCAGATGGCACCCTTCACCACTTACCCGCTGCATGACAGTTGACACTGTCGGTGCCCTGATTCGATCCCCGTGGAGTGCTCCTAGGTTCTGGCCTGTTTGCTTCTGACATTTTGCATCTCTGACACTTCGGGCTGAAACTACCCTCAGGGATGCTTTGCCTATGATCACAATCCTGCTTGGCCTTTCCCACTTCCCTGTCCCCTCACTCTCTTACCAATTTCTCCTGCAAGCACTTTCCTAATAAATGACTGGGACATGAATCTTCATCTTAGGATTTGCTTCTGGGGAACCCAACCTGAGACAATGACCTAGAGCAAGGTAACCAAATCCAGCTTGCCATCTGTTTTTATAAAGTTTTACTGCTACACAGCAGTACATAAGACATCCACTTATGTATTGTCTATGGCTGCTTTTCCAGTATAACAGCGGTACTGAGTAGTGGTGACAGAAACTAAATAGCCTGCAAAGCCTAAGATATTTACTACTTGGCCATTTTCAGAAAAAGTTTACTAACTCCTAACCTAGAGTAAGTCTTCTAATAATTATCACTCACCTCTACGCGTTGTCATGAGGACTAAATAAGTTAGAAGGGGCCCAGCACACTCCCTAGCACCTACCAGGTGCTCCACTTACATTTGTTGAGGTGGAATGTAACATAAGGTACTCCCAAGTCATAAGTCCTGTTCTTAGATTTGGGGAATCTTGCCAGGAAAGTTTTCCTCTGATTTTTAGATTTTTCTCCCCTCTATCCAGAAAAGGATACCTCCCGGTCAAGCAGATTTTAAGGCTGTTATTCTGCCAATCACCAGCATGAGAATCAGCTGTGGACCTGTTGAAACTACAGAATCCCGAGGCCCACCTGAGACCATCCCTAGAATTAGAATCTCAGAGTGGGGTCCACCTTTCCAGGTGATTTTGATGGACACCAAAGCTTGAAAAACATAGATCTATGGTAAATTTATAAATAAATACAATGGTTTAAAAGCACACAATTCAAGAGAGTTTTTACCCCTGGGGAGAAGGGGTTTGGGGGACCACACAGAAAACCTTGAATATACCTGGGGCCTTTTATTTTGCTAGGCATTGTCCCAGATATCTTTCATACTCAATCATTTAAAAAAGCCAATAAATAAGTACTCTTATTTTTTTTAAGGCCGAGAAAATGAAAGTGCAGCAATTTAGATGTTTTGTCCATGATTGCACAGCCAAGATTCTATGCTTTTGCCCATGATTCCACAGCTAAGTTTACATAAGCGAAGATTTCAACATAATTAACTCCCTCCAGGGTCCAAGTTCTTAAGCACTAGGTTATACGTCCTTTCTAGTCCTAGGAATGTTCTATTTCTCAAACTGAGTAGGGTATACAAACGCATTAGATTTATTATTTATACTTTACACATATACTGTATTATACTTGTCTCATATATATATGAAATATTTCATTTAAACATATACATGCTTTTACAAATACCAAAATAAAAACTAAATTAGAAGGAAACCTGTTGCTCAAACTTCACTGGAGCCCTCAAGGCTGGCGGTGGGAGAGAACCCCAGGGTGCAGCTGGACCTCTCAGAGCCCCACCTTGCACCCCTGCATTTGTACATTTCGCTGTGGAGAATCCCACCAATCTTGGCTGCAATCTCCCCTCCGACCTCAGAGGGCACTGTCCTCGCCCTCACTGCCCAGGGGACCTAGGACCAAGTTTTCACGTAGGGCTGGGAGTGTGGAGAGAGGTCTCTCCAGGTGACAGTGGCTTCCGGTGTCCATGGCGGTAACAGATAAACGCTAGGCTGCAATCTCCCCTCCGACCTCAGAGGGCGCTGTCCTCGCTCTCACTGCACATGGGACATAGGACCAAGTTTCAGGTAGGGCTGGGAGTGTGGAGAGAGGTCTCTCCAGGTGACAGTGGCTTCCGGTGCCCCATGGCGCTAACAGGTAAATGCTAGGCATCGTGCTCGAGGTGCCTGAACGTTCCTCAACCGCCTTGAGCTCGCAGTTCCATTTGTAGAAGTGACTCTGAAGCTCAGAACTGAGTTCACAACTTGTCCTAAGTCATACATCCAACTAGCACTGGGACTTGAACTAGGTCCTCTGAGCTCTCCAGTGCTCGAGGCTGTCTCCCCGAGGGTCTGGAACAGGGTCCTAGGATACCTACAAACTCAGACTCAGAGACTGTCTTTCTCCGGGGGCGGAGGGCGGGGGGAGCTTGGACTAAGAATCTCTTGGCTCCCGTTGCCCTGGCTAAATCCTGCCGAGATTCTGAAAGTACTGGATCTTGGCTCCCGAGAGGGACAAACAGACTCGAGGACGGCGGACAGGGCCGGGCGGCTCCAGCCCGCTCCAGCTGGGCTGGGGAGCGCCGGGACTACCCACCTAGCACGAGGATACGGTCTTCGGGCCGCAGCTCAGGCTCCAGGAGGGTACGGAAGGAGGAGAAGTCCCCGAACCACTCGTAGGGGGCAGAGTCAGCCGCATTCCGGTAGCGCTGGTCCCAGTACTGAACCTCACGGTACCTGCAGTTCTGCTCTGGTATCTCCGGCGAGGGGGCTCGGGCCCGTGGAGAGGCCATGCTTGCAGCTGCAGGGCACACTGCCAGCACCTTTGGACCGGGCTTGGCGCTCCATGTAGCCAATAGGGATGGTATCATTCGGGAGGCGTGGCCCTTGTGTCTCCGCCCACCACCTGCAGTTGCTCAACATAAACACGTGGAACTTCCGTCCTCTGGTGAGAGCTCTTTGAAGAATACTCCGGGTGGGAAAATCCTATCGTTCAGAGCTTGAATCCTCCAACTGTACTTCTCCCTCACTTCTGAGAGCCAAACTCATAGTGTCAGACTCACTCGGCTCATCACTGCTTATTTTCAGTTTGGCCGGCTCCTTCCATTAAGAAGTCTGAAAGTTAATGAAAGATTCATTTCTACCCAGTTTTGAGTACGCGGAAGGCTCTGAGAGGAGGCAGGAGGGGCGCGGCCACAGGTCTTGCCCTCCAGGAGAGACTGGCATGAAACACAGACGAAGTGTGATGCCAGGCAAGGGAGAACACGGACAGGAATGTTGCTTTTCTGGGCAAACGTTCGATCTACTTTAGCGCCTGCGTGCTCAGAACTAAGTATGTAGTGAGGAGTAAAACTATTCCTGCACGGCTGGAGTGTGTAGTGCATCAGGAAAGATGTGGAAGAAGTAAATTTTAGTGGAGCAAATAGGACACGAAACCGGACAGCGATCAGTCGGTTGGGACAGCCGGCGCGGGGAGCGGAACTTAAGTGCTGAGGGGCCGGGCTTCCGGGGTGGGGGGCCAACAGGAGCGGCGCACCGTCAAGATGGCGGCGGGCCTACGGAAACGCGGCCGGGCGGGTACGGCATCCCGGGCTGCGGGACTCTGCGGACAATGGCTGCGGCGCGCCTGGCAAGAGCGGCGCCTACTGCTGCTGGAGCCGCGCTACACGCTGCTGGTGGCCGCCTGCCTCTGCCTGGCGGAGGTGGGCATCACCTTCTGGGTCATTCACAGGGTGGCATGTGAGTGCGCCGAGGAGGAGGGGAGGGGAGGGAGGGGGACCCGAACCCCCTACCCAAACTGGGACCCAGATTCGGACCTGAAATCCAGATCCAATCAGTCATCAATTGCAGACGATAATTTTTACCCACGTCCAAAGCCTGCTCCATAAAACCAAACCCTGTCTTAATCCCTCCCCGATGATGGAAGGGGCAACCCTAGAGATTGGCCCTCTGCCCTGACCATACAGCCTGCCAGGCTAAGAACATAAACTAGCCTGGAAATCAAAAGACCTGGGTCCGAGTTAATGTACTACTGCTCCTTCTTGTCTCTTGCTTTGGACATGTCCCTTCCCCTGCTGGATCCAAATTTTCTCATCTGTTCAATTCTGAGGTCTCAAAGTTCTCTTGTCAACAATGTCATTTTGTGACCACTTGAGTCCTTTGGGTATTATTGGGAGCTCCTTTCCAGCCTGAATCTAGCCACTGGGCTTAAGGCTTTCTTGCTAAAGATGATTAATGTAACACATATTTATTGAATGTTTATTATATGCTTAACACTGTGCTAGGTGCCAGGGGTACAGTGGTGAAAAAATAGACACATTTTCTATTTGGGTGTATGGGCCTGGACAAAAAGAAGTTAGTAGAAAATGATAGTGGATCAGATTCATCATGATAGTAGGAAGACAGGGAGCCATAAAGGACACAGGAGGGCACTTAAGCCAGACTTGAGTCCCCCTTGAAAGGTAAGAGCGAGCTAATTGAGGAAAGAGAGAAAAGGAGAGGAGAAAGAGCACTCTAGGTAGAGAATCCTGTAACTAAAAACCTCCAGTCAAAAGAGAGTCTGCTTCCTTTGAGGAACTGAATTTTTTTTTAGAGCTGGAACAGAATTCGAGTGAGGGTAGCAGTGAGAGATGAGATTGCAGAAGTTGAGACCAGATTGTGAAGCAGTCTGTCAGTTGTGTTAAGGAGATAATTAGCATGGTGGTTAAGAATTTAGGACCTCATGGAGTTCCAATCTCAGCTTTACCCTTCTTAGCTCACTGATCTTGAATTAGTCACTTAACCTCATTAATTCATAGGTTCCTCTTCTAAAATTGGGAATAATATGATTTGGTTTTTATCTTAGGAGGCTTGAGGAATCAGTGAAGGGTTTTAAGCAGAGAGATCTGACATGATTTCTATTATAGAAAGAGCTCTCTGGTTGCAGAGGTGGGAAATATATTGTAGTGAGGTAAAAGTGGAAGCTGGGAAACTAATTAGGAAGCTGTTGCATCATTGAGGCTAGAGATTATGTTAGGTCCGAATATTAGTATGTAAGAGCAGAAAAGGATGAGAGATAGTAGAGTTATTTAGGATGAAGAATAGGCAGGATTTGGTGACTGGGTGTTGGAAACGAGAAAGAAGTAAGTGTCAAAGATGTTACCCAGGTTTGTGACCTGGGCAGCTGGGAGGTTGATGGTGCCATTCATGAAACCCAGGAAGGAGAGCAGATTTAGAGTGGACGGTTTGAGTTCAATTACAGACATGTTGAATTTGAGATGCTTGGGTTCACCCAGAGAATGCCAGATGAGCAGTGAGATAAAGGGTTGTGATGGAAGTCCTGGGAAAGAGCTGGAACTCTGTATTTTGAGGGGCTGGAAGTGTGTGTGTGTGGGGGGGGAGGCAGACAGGTTCTGAACTTGGAAGTAACCACACCGTCCTGTCCTTTTCCAGATACAGAGATTGACTGGAAGGCCTACATGGCCCAGGTGGAGGGTGTCATCAACGGCACCTATGACTACACCCAACTGCAGGGTGACACTGGACCTCTTGTGTGAGTGGTGGTAAGGGGTTCAATGAGGACCTGAGGGGCTGCCTGGATACCAGGCTGGGTAGCCTGACCCAGACTCCTCTTCCAGGTACCCAGCCGGCTTTGTGTACATCTTTATGGGGCTATATTATGCCACTGGCCGGGGCACTGACATCCGCATGGCCCAGCACATCTTTGCTGTGCTCTACCTGGCCACCTTGCTGCTTGTCTTCTTGATCTACCACCAGACCTGCAAGGTGAGTCCATGCTACCGGGAGCAGGAGGCCCCATCTGGCAGGGCTGGGGAGTAGGGATGGCTCAGGGTTGGTGAGCTGACCTTGTTCCCCACTGTGCCCACCTCTCAGGTACCTCCCTTCGTCTTTTTCTTCATGTGCTGCGCCTCTTACCGTGTCCACTCCATCTTCGTGCTGCGGCTCTTCAATGACCCGGTGGCCATGGCGCTGCTTTTCCTCAGTATCAACCTCCTGCTGGCTCGGCGCTGGGGCTGGGGCTGCTGCTGTTTCAGGTCAGCACCCCTCCCTTCTCCCCCCTCCCCCTCTCTCATTCTGTATTTCCATCATTTCCTCCCCCAGTTGCCTGCAGCAGAGGAAGTAAGGGAGTAACCAGACAATATGGGTCCGTCGGGGCCCCACTAGACAAGTCTAGGATCTGTAGACAGTCTCTGCCCCCACCCCCCAAACACACACACCCCCTACCCTTCCTTCTAGACGGCATCTATTGTTGGAGTTGGTCCTTGCACATTCTAAATACTCTAAATATGTATTTGCTGGCCCAGTCTGAGCATAGAGACTTGGTATCTGCCCCCTACCCTCAGCCTCCTTCCAGGCTGCTTTACCCTCCTTCCAGCCATTCTGAGTGTGGGCCCCATCCTGGAGCTTGCTGGCAGGGGAGGGGAGGAGTTGCTGGTGTATGTCGAGGGGAGATGCATCTTTGGGTGGGGTAAATGGCCCTGGAGCTGATCTCCCCCCTTCATCTCCCTTACCTACCCCAGCCTGGCAGTCTCTGTGAAGATGAATGTGCTACTCTTCGCCCCTGGGTTGCTATTTCTTCTCCTCATGCAATTTGGCTTCCGTGGAGCCCTCCCCAAGTTGGGCATCTGTGCTGTCCTTCAGGTACCCCCACTACCTTCCCCTTCCTAATGAAGGGAAGGCTACTCTCTGGCCTCCTTCCATCGTTGAGACTTCCTCAAAGCTAACAGACAGGGTTTGGGAGTTGATTCTGGGCTTTGCTTTTATGAGCTGTAAAATAAGGGTGTTGAACTAGATGGTTTCTGAGGGTTTCTCTGATTCTGCCCATTTTTTTTTATTTTTATTTTTTAAAGATTTTATTTATTTATTTATTTGAGAGAGAGAATGAGATAGAG